TGGCCAGCCGGGCTCCGTGGTTACTCGCGTGTGAGTCCGCACGGAGCAGAGCAGCTCGCCCCCCGCGGGGTCCCTCCTGCCGCGAGGGCCTGCGGAGCCCAGCGAGAGGCAGGACCTCATCAGGCTGTTGAGCTGACGCTCCGCTCGTCGGCCCTGGGACCAGTCACGCCTCTGGCCCATTTCTCGGGCCTTCACGTACACGCGTGTGTCGTGAGCAGCCAGCCAGTCACGTACACGTGTGTGACCTGAGCCAGTCATTCATGTACACACGTGTGACCTGAGTCAGTCGCGTACACGTCTGTGCCCTAAGCCAGTCACGTACACGTGTGTGTCCTGAGCCAGTCACATACATGTGTATCCTGAGTCAGTCACGTACACGTGTGTCCTGAGCCAGTCACATACATGTGTATCCTGAGCCAGTCATTCATATACACATGTGTGTCCTGAGCCATTCATGTACACACGTGTATCCTGAGCCAATCATATACACGTGTATCCTGAGCCATCCATGTGCACATGTGTGTCCAGAGCCATTCATGTACACATGTGTATCCTGAGCCAGTCACGTACACACGTGTATCCTGAGCCAGTCACGTACACATGTGTATCCTGAGCCAGTCACATACATGTGCATATCCTGAGCCAGTCTGTCACGTACATGTGTGTGTCCTGAGCCAGTCACGTACACACGTGTGTCCTGAGCCGGTCATGTACACACATGTATCCCGAGCCAGTCACGTACACGTGTGTATCCTGAGCCAGTCGGTCACGTGCGTGTGTGTGTCCTGAGCCAGTCACGTACACATGTGTATCCTGAGCCAGTCACGTACACATGTGTGTCCTGAGCCAGTCTGTCACATACATGTGTGTGTCCTGGACCAGTCATGTACACGTGTGTGCCCTGAGCCAGTCGGTCACGTGCGTGTGTGTGTCCCGGGCCAGACATGTACACGCGTGTGCCCTGAGCCGGTCATGTACACGCATGTATCCCGAGCCAGACAGGTACACGCGTGTACCCTGAGCCGGTCATGTACACGCATGTATCCCGAGCCAGACAGGTACACGCGTGTACCCTGAGCCGGTCAGCAGGCACGCGTGCACACACAGCTCCTGCGGGCCCTGCCTCGGAGAGCCGGGCTGTGGTCGTTGTCGGTCCAGCGGCTCCGGTGCCGTCGGCCTGTCGCCCTGAGCGCGTCTCGGAACCGGAAACGCAGGCCTTCACTGCGGGAGCGCGCTTTCCTGCCTGCCCGCCCGTTACCGATTTAATGGTTTAATTTCCGCAAACAGCCGCCCAGGGGAGGCTCCGAGGGCAGGGAGGAGCTGGGAGCGCTCAGGATGGGGACTCCCGCGGGAGGAGGGAGCGAGAGGAGCGCGGTGGCGGGGACCCCTTTCTGGGCCGACACCCCTGGGGAGCAACAGACCCTG